ATTGTTGTTTGGCGGGTCAGGGCTGGGGATTCGAACCCGCCACCTTAGGTGTACGTGGCTGGCGCCTTAGCCGGTTGAGCTATAGGCGCCGAGCCAGGCCAAATTCTTATTTGTGAAATTAATGCATCAGTGTAAGAGTGTCAAAAACATTACTGATATGTACTGTTGGTTTCCACGAAGGTGCCAATTTACAGGATCCCAACCCACTGTTAGGCTGCATGCTTGCCACAGGGGGTTATTATCATTTTCTAAAATATATTCTAATTTTGCAGGCAAAATAAGAGTTATCTGTTTCAAGATACATTTCTTGGACTGATGTTAATAAATATGGCAGAATAAAGACCTCTGAAAATCTTCTCTGTAAAGGCAGCAAGAACATAGGCAAAAATTGTGAGAATCAACTTTTTTAAGACTATAAACTAATGAAAGGCTTGCAATAATCTGCAAGTAAATCTTGCATTTACTTAAGAAAAACAGCTGGGTGGTGCCTGTGGCTCAAAAGGGTGGGGCGCTGGCCCCATATGCTGGCGGTGGTGGGTTCAAACCCAGCCCTGGCCAAAAACTGCAAAAAAAAAAAAAAAAAAAAGAAAAAAAAAAAAAAAAAATTGCTGACTATAAGAAAAGCAAAAATACCCAGCTACATGCTGAAGACAAGCCCCAACACATACACAGGCACTTGGCAAAGGCTGGGAGGCTGACTGAGTCTAGGCATTTAAGAGCATCTCTGTGCAATGATTAGCTGCTGGCTAAGCTAACGAAGCAGGAACTTCAGTGGCCACACACAACAAAGAACACAGACTAACAGAATCAGTTCAGGAAAAATCACTAAACAACCAACAACAGCAAAAAAGAGCAACAACAAAGCTGCAGGGGGATCAAGAATCTGATTACCAGTGTTGCACATTGAAAATGTCTAGTGTGGCTCGGCGCCTGTGGCTCAAGTGGCTAAGGCGCCAGCCACATACACCTAAGGTGGCAGTTCAAATCCAGCCCAGGCCCGCCAAACAACAATGACGGCTGCAACCAAAAAATAGCCGGGCATTGTGGCAGGCGCCCGTAGTCCCAGCTACATGGGAGGCAGAGGCAGGAGAATCTCTTGAGCCCAGGAGTTGGAGGTTGCTGTGAACTGTGATGCCACAGCACTCTACCCAGGGCGACAGCTTGAGGCTCTGTTTTGAGGCTCAAAACAAAACAAAACCAGACACTCCTCTTTCAACCACTTGGTCATAGCAACAGGGAAAGGAGGGGCAGCCCTGGTCTCCCCAGCCGGGGTTTATGGATCCCCAGGACTTACCGTCTGCAAGTCGTACCATGTGCCCGAGGGGAAGTAGCCTGTCACTTCAGTCTTCCCAGCCTCGAGCACTGGGGTGATGAGAAGAGCCTCCCCCCACAGGAGCTGGCGGTCCACAGTCCAGGTGTGGAGGTCCTCAGGGAACCTTCAAATGAGAGTGGTGGGGAGATGGGCCTGGTGGCAGGCTGGGGCAGAGGTGACCATCTGGGGTGGGCACACTCACTGGCTGGAAGCTCGCAAAGAGTGGCATCCCCACCCCCTGGGAGCTCAGGGCATCAGAGGACTTGGGCTAACACGTCAGGGCTGGTTCCAGTGGACTGAAGTCAACACAGCACCAAGATGACCTCCTCCCTGTCTGACACTGTGGGGGATATGTGGCCCAGAGGTGACATCAGGATGTCGGCCTG